CGGAAATAAGTTGTAGTACAAGAGTGTTATTGTACACCGTTTTTAAGTCGCCAATTTGTTTACCATACGTAAAAATCGAACTACCTTAATGTTAATGAAAGTGTGCATGGATTTGCAAATATGCATTAAATATTATTATTAAATAAAATTTTATTTGCGTTAGTCACGCAGTTCATTTATCCAATTTTCACTAATTTCTGTGTCATTTCATTTGAAATTATTCCATTGAATCGAAATTGGTTTTATGATGCTATAAAGTTTTTTTATATCACTACATTTAATTACATAATTAATCCATATATATCCGTATGTAAATATGATTATTTAATAATTTGTAGTAATTGATTTGCATTTACTTAAATTCAGCAAGCTTGAATATAAATAAAATTATTCAAATATAATATATTGATTTCCATACATACATATATACCTATATACATATATACAACGATTAATGATTTAAGTATACCATTTATTATGAATGCGGTTTCCGAATGTTTAAAAAAAAACTATAAGTACTAATGACATCTTAAATGTTTGAGTAATAGAACTAAAATTGAGTGGAATAAAATGTTTAAAAATATGTTTGCAAAGCAACACTGACTAAAGTAACCTCTTTTTCAAAATTCTCAGAACGCAAATAATAAGTAACCAAGCAGAACTATAAAACTCAGATATTTCTCACTTATTACCCCGTTTATTTTCAGCTATTAGGATGGAAATAAATTAACGGTTAAAAATTTACATTATTTTTCAAAATTCCCGTTTAATTTTTTTCTCCTTTTTAGCCGAATACAGCTGTAAAAAATTAGAATATCGTTTCTACCTTATTTTCTCCACACACTAGCGGAATACAAGTATATCTCACAACAAAACACAAAACATTCGAAGAATTCACTTAACGGTGAATAAAGTACGTTGAATGCTTACGTTCCAGCTGCTTTGACGCCTGATTGGAAGCCAGCAAAACTTGCAGATCATGGCGTGGAGCATACCCGCTTATATGCTTACAGCATAAATCACATAATCAGCCAGCCAGCAACAGCAACGCGGCCTTGTCTGTGCTTGCCGTTAGATTCGCCACACATATCAGGGAACCTTGACGCATCAGCATCCGACACGGCTGTTGCAAGTTTATTTGTTGGTTGCAAGTTGCCGTTGTTGTACAAGTACTGCATGCGTAAGGCGTACGCACGCATGTGACAGCGATTGCGCAACACCAAAGACGAAATCAAGAAAGATGAATGCCGGTGGAATGAAAACCGTGAGCAGAAGGGTAACGAGCAACAGCCAAGCGCAGGAAGGAATGATTAACACATATACTCATATGCATATATATGTGTGTGCAGCAAGGTTCGGTGCCTTGAACGCTGAGGGTCCCGAAAAATCGATGCGACCAAAATCATTCTAATTACGCATGTCCGTGGCCGTGGCATCTCAGCCGGCAGCAAATTATTCAACTTCGCCCCTCATCATGCGAGTGCTGCGGAGGGTTGTGGCAGCGAATTGAAAGTGTGTGGCGCAACCAATCGCCATTGGTCACACTGAATATTAGACGAATTTTGATGGCATTAATTTGACGTCAATGCACCGCAGCGGACGGACAGGCTGTCTATAACTTATAAGCCGTGCGAAGCAAAGAACCGAGTCAAAATGCGTGGAAGCAATGTGTGGCAACTATTGGCGGCGGCAGCGTGCGTTTGCAGCTAAATCCGGTATTATGTGCTTGCTGTTGCTTTAGTCATACATATAGACACATATGAATACACATATTTATCCCTCGTCGCTCTTAATTGTGCGTCGTCGTTGCAGTCAATTTGAATTCTTCACACTGCACATGCGAAATTTTCACAGATTTGCTATGTGCCACACCCCTCTCATCCTCACAGCTAAATATCTAGCTGAGACATGTTAAATAATATTGTGTGTATGTGTGTGTGTGTCGCAGTTAATAATTGATGATGATGAAGTTAATAACTTGTGTGACTGAGGCAAAAATTAGTTGTTGCACGTACGGTAAACGTGGCTAATGTGCATTTGATATATTTGCCCGTAATGGGTGTACATGTCTGGTGCAGTCACCCTCCTCATTAATAGTGACTTTCTGCTTGGCAATTCACTGTTATGAATACATACGCATGTGTATGTCGAATTATTGTTATTCTTTGCAGTTAAGCAATTAATGGCACAAGATTTGATTTTGAGATACAAAATAAGTATGAAGACTATTGCCGATATACATATACCAACTCGTTAAATCTAACAAAAATTTTCAGATTTGTCACTATTAATATTTTTAATAAATTGGAAAATAAATTGCTTCTTAGCAAATTTTGTGTACGCTTGCCTCAGACTACTTTGAGATTGTTCCCATCTACTTCAGTGATCTTTTTTTACCTTAATCACTTTTCCTCAAGTGGATTTTTACATACGTTTCAAGAACAGAAACGTCTGATACTGCTCAAACGTAACCCTGTTGACTTCTTAGCAAAAATTTTTCACTAGCTTTACTTTTTCAATATGCTTTTTCTTCAGCAGTTGTTATTCAAGAAAAACCTACGCATATCACTTAAATATTTCCACTCCCGCTAAGGTTGTCTTCCTAAGACAAGTGATCAGCATGATGAGCTGTGTCGATTTAGTCATGCTGGTCTGTCTGTCCATCTCTCTGTTATTTGACGAGATATCTTCACGAAATTTGGCATGGGTTATTGTACAAGGCAATAGCCTAATTTACCAAGAAATTGTTCAGATCGAATCACTATAGCATATAGCTGCCATACAAACTGAACGATCCGAGTCAAGTTTTGGTAAGCAACCTTTGGTTTTCGCGAAGCGTATTATAGCTTCGATGCAAACGAAGTTAACATGTTTTCTTGCTTTTTTAATAAAAATATACTGATAGAAATATGAACTCACAACCATCCAGTTTTTAACTTTCCATTCTCTTCTTCCTAGGGGCTGTGCTAAAAGACTTCATTGGGTGGACTTAAAAAACTAGTAAGAGCAAATTTCAGCTGGTAAGTGAAAGCTTAAATCTTAATATTAAATATGGAATAATAAACCCATCCCTGTCTGATGTCTATTCGTCCCTCTTGCAAATAGTTTTATGTGGCGTTTTGATGTCCTCCGAATTAGATTATTCGCATACTCAATAATAAATGACGAATATTTTAGATTCCCCTTGCAGCTCTGCTTTGTCTTCTTCTTGTGCTTTGCCATTTCTCTAATACGTTTACTGCAGTTAGATCGACTTCCTTTTTTGGACATGACGTAGTACTGTCTAACATATTTTTGTTCTCTTCGATCTTCCTAATCTTGAATCACAGTTTAATTTTTTCTTGGTTACATAATATTGCTTTTAATATATTCAAGATGGAAAAACAGCAATTTTTTCGAAACTCACAATGTTAATAGTTTAAAGTGAAGTGTCTGCAAGTCAACTATTTCGCTCTCATAATTGTTACGTTACGGGAGAGTACCTGAAAAACGAATGAGTTAGCGTATTATATAGCGTGGGAATGGACTATTATCAAACTTTTTTGTTGCGATTTGAAGGGACAAAAATAGAGAAGAATATAAATAACTATAGCAAATATATTAACGAAATTTTTGCTTAAGAAAATATTATATATCCCAAACAAGTATTGAAATATTTGTTAGTTTGATGAAACAAGTTTCTAGCAAAGGAAAATTGCTTTGGGAAACAGTTTTAAACAGTCAATGTGATTCTGAATATTATATAATATATAGGATGCATATTTGAAATTTTTTTATTCTTTTTAGGGCACAAATATACACAAGTAATTAAATACCTGTATATTTTTTGTAGATTCTTCGAATTAAACCTTTAATTATTTGCGCAAATCTGGAGCGCAAACATGGCAGCGTAGAATATCAACAAAGAGCAATCAAACAATGGTAGCAAATAACAACAAACATACCTAACAACAACAGTGCATACACACACAATCAGATAAAAAATAGTAAATCTAAGACGGCTTAAACAGAAATGAGGCAAAAAAATAGAAACAATACAAATTGACATTCTAGGAACGAAGTCTCGATAGACGTCTGCAGAGCAGCCAAACCAGTTTTGGTCCAATTGTGCGTGCAGTATCTTCTTAATCAGCCGATTGGAACAGGTAGTTACGTAGTTGGCTGCGACGCAGACGCAGACTCAGATACAATTTTGTGTGTTTTTGTCAACCTTTTTGGTGTTGTTTCTAAGACACTTCTTTTTTAGCTTCGTAGATGCTGGCGTGTCTAAAGCAGCAAGCAGCAGGTAGATGAAAGAGAACGCAAGCAAGAACAACAAAAAACGTCTGTGCATATGTGGAATATCAAACGAGGAAAATGCGTAGGAGAGCTCAAATTGCACAAGTGACTGTAGAGTCCAAAATAAAAAAATGAAAAAAATAAATGTTTGCTTGAAAGTGTTGCTTAATAGAAAAGGGCACATGTCATAAGAAATAAACGAACTTTCAAATGGAGGGGTTTACTGTTTGCGTAGGTTTATTGCTGCGACTGAAGTCATATCAAATGTCTACACATACTTGTACATAAGAAAAATAGAGATTTGATAGATATTTCTAGACAATTTTATTGCAACACTGCAGCCAAAGGACCATAATTACAAATGTTAAGTAAAAATAAAAATTGTTGATGACTTCTGTTTTCAGCGCTGCATGCCACCATCTGACTATATGCGCACATCCGCTTGTTTGCAACAATCTGCGCAACGCTAGAGGGAAACCTTCAACACATACACACACAAACATTGACGCACTCGTGCACCCAAAATGACCTTCAATAACTGCCATCAACAGGAAATGCGTGCGATGCGCGCTTTAGCGTACACAACAACAAAACCAAACGTAACTTCAAATGCTGCAACCGCGACATCACTGTTGTATGTTCGATTGTCAAAAATGTTGCATCGTGCGTAATCTGTTAGGTTGTTTGCTGGCAGCGCGTATCTATAAGATACATTCGGTTTGAGCGTACCACTTGGCGGTCGCAAGTATACTTACATTTTCGAACTCTAGTATTTCCCCTCGACTGCCTACTCGAAAACGATTGTTTGTATCGAACATGTTGCTAACAGTTGCTATTAATAAAAATATTAGCAGCAATGTTTCTTTACTGCTATCACATATAATTTTTAGTTGGTGTGAAGATATCAGTAGCGACATTCAAAAAATAATTTAAAAGTGCCGTTATTTGGCTTACCTAAGGGTCTCGACTTCAACTATTCATGGTTTCATGTTTTGGGTGCTGGCGTTACACCATCACTGATTGGTTCTATAAGATTTTAGTTGAAACTGATCGCCTTGAATTTTATGTCGAACGTTTTCACTTTCTTACTCCAAAATGCAACAGATTTCATAAGGTACTTGGCAACTGTAATGCTTTTAGAAGATGTTGTTTAACAGAAACCAACTTCTATGCGGCGAATTGAGGAAAGTTGCCCCGAAATTGCATTAAGAATACAAGCAGCCAACAATCAAACGCAACCACTACTATCCACACAACGCTCTCAACATGTTGTGGGCTCTTGTCGCTAGCAACATGTTGTGCGAAAACCGGTTTCTTGCTGTCTCCTCGAACAACCTAGCACATTAATGCTCCAACGCTGTTTATTTGGATACTATCATCAAACACGGCAACCAACAATAGAGAACGCCAACAAGTAGATGCTTGCAACAAGCTCGAAACCCTTTGCTTTTGCTTTATTTGTAGCACTATACTCACACGCTAGTAGCGACAACAATTTGCCCGCCATACCCACAAGTTGGCCCCCGAGCTCCCCCAAAGAACTGGCCATTCACTGCTGCTGCTAACAACAATCCACGCCGTCCACAGCTGCTTCTTCAACCGGTCTTCTTCAGAACCAGCCAGCCAGCCAACTTCGTTGCATTTTCCAATTCGGTTCGCTACAACGTTTCGGCGCAATTCGCTGCAAGTTCGGTTTTGTATATGTTGCAACATTCGTTGCCTTCGCCGAAACACACGCTGTTCGTTCGGCATATCAATTGCTTTGCTTGACTGCTTGACTGCTTGGCTGACTGGTTGACTGGTGTTTTTCGGTTGTTTCGTTGTCGTTTGGCTGACTGTTCGTGGTGGTGTCTCGTATGGAATACATAGTTTTTAAATTGTTTGTCGTTGCAGCCAGTTGCTTCAGTTGGTCGTGAGCGGTCGTTAGTTGTTGACGTTAAATCTAGTGAGTTCACGTTTGTCGAATATTTTTGTGTGTTCAGCTATTCCATGCTACGGAATTAATTTTCGTCGTATTTTACGTGCCGAACGTAGAAGAAAAGCGTGTTTTCCTATAGCCAGTCGAGAAACTTACAAAGCTATCAAGCTTCGAAGGTATCAGAACGTGCGCGGCAAATGCTTTAGCGACGGCAAAATGTATTTGCGACAAAGTGTTGTTTGAAAACAGTTGACAATTTTCCGATTTCGAAAATTGTAGAAATTAAATTGGCTAAATACAAAATTTAAGCCACTAAAATAATTAAAGTGTGTGATATTGTCTAGAATTATTTAAAAATATAATTTGACAAAGTAAAAATTAATATTTGCGATATTTTAAAAATATTTTTTATTTTTTTTGGAAAACAGTAGCAAAAAATTGGTGTCAACAGAAATTGTTGATATAAATTCAAAACGATCTACATGAAAATCAAAGAAATTGAAATCATATACGACTTTGAGTATAAAACTGACATTTGAGTTTTCTAAAAAATTTGATCCAACCTCTTTTTTGAAAGACATTTCCTTAAAAATATAAAAGCAAGTGCGAAGTACAAAAAAGTTCAAATAAAAAGTGCAAAGTGAAAATATTCCGAGTGGTAACATCTTGTCTCCTAAGAAAGCAAAACCAGTTCAAAATCCGAAAGAGTGCAAACGCGTAGAATCCGCAAGAAAAACTGCATATAAAGCAAAATAATCAAACCAATTAGAAATAAAGTAAAAGAACAAAGGAAAAACAAGCAAAATGTGCAGCAAAAAGGAAATCAACTCCACCCTAATGATGGCATTCACTGTCACAACGCTGCTTGGATTTATAAACGCGCAGGCCGTGGGCTCCAAGGATCTCTTCAGATGCCGCCAAAGTTGCTATCAAAAGGTGAGTTCCGCACGACGATGATAGGGCACAAAAAGCAAATGGTAAAATAAAAGAAAATGCTCTCATAAAATAGAAAGCGCGATAGAAGAGATTTAAGGGCCGAAAATAAAATAGAGTAGAATAGAGCTGCAAGGCTGAAAAGAAAACAAAATGGAAAAGCGCAGAAAGGGACACAAAAATAAATACTTTAAAAACACTGAAAGCGAGAAGTTGGTGGTTGCAGGGCTTCACTGGAAGGCATCAACACATATATAAAGAAAATTCTACTACACAGAAGTACCGCTGGCTTCTCACTTGATTGACAAAAATATTTTTTATGGAAATTAGTTTAGGCTTTGCACTTTGGGGCATTTCTTGCGTGAAGGGTAAATACGAGAAAAATTAGCAATGCCGTGGCTTAAGAAAAAAATGTCGTAATCCTACCATTTATGGGAAACACAAGTTCGTACCAACAAAACATAGTACATACATAACTAACTTGTGGGCACAGAACAGATGACAGATAACAGAGGGAGCCTCAGCGCAGCGAACAACACCGAGCGAGTGACAAGATGCGCCAAATGGCAGTGTGTAGGACCCGGCAGGCAGGCCATCTTTTCACTTTCTTGTTTTCATTTTGTGCTATGCTGAAGATTTCTTTTCCTTAGTTAGCTGTCGCCACTGACTGACATGACATTTGACATTTGAATGGGCCGCAATGCGTGGCACGGTCGCTTTTCGCAAGCTTTGTGCATGCTTGAAGCCAGCTTACAGCTTTGTGGCGGCAAATCATAAAAGCCTATTTATCAGCGCACCGCAATAGGTTTAAATAAATCAATGTGAATCGATGTATGAAGGTATTCTTGTTTTGTATGTGCCGAGAAGACGAGCTTTGTAATATTTAAGTAAATAAGGAAGCGTGGTAAAGACTCTTTCTGCTGTGTGGTAACTTTAGTTATGTATGATGTATGCGCTCGCTTTTATGGTCACGGGAAGTAGTCTAAGTTGAACACATTCAATAGTCCGAAAGTAACATTAGGCAGCGAAAATTTAGAAAATTTTGAGTCAAAATTAAAATTTTAGAAAATAAATTTTAGCTGAATCGGTATGTGAAAATAAGTAATTTAGAGATATTTTATAATAAAACCATAAATAGTTTTATTACCAGGATTGAATTAAAATATTTCAAAGAAAATGTTCATATATAATATATGACATATCGAAAAATAGCTTGAGGCCAAAAAAAATAATATTCGAATTTTAATACAATAAAATCTGCAGCTGTTTTCCTTTGTCATCAATATGCGATATAAATAATATTAAATATATATTTTAATAAAAAAAAGTCCAATTGCAAATAATTTTTACCAAATTTTTTTTTAATAATTCTGTAAAAATAATAATTGTATCGTATTGAAATGCAGCTGAATTTTTGTTACAATAATTTGAAATTTCCTTAACGTGACTAAATTTTTGGAATTCGTTGCAATAACCAGCAATTGAAAGTTGAAAAAGCTGTCAAACTATTAACGAGCATGACAACAGACTGAATTTCAGTGCAAAAACAAATGAAAATAAAGCAAGCAACACCTACACATATTGTTACATATGACCATAAACCGTTATAAATCAACACCCAATACAAACTGGTATGCAACACACACAATTTTCAATTAAATATGCGTTCTTGCAACATCCTGCGCTAGAGTTATTAAATAAAATTTACAGCGTTTTTGTTGTTGTCGTTATTAAAGGCAACTCTCAGTTGCATGCCAACACAAGTACTAGCATTAATATGTGTGATTCGATGTAAAAACAATTAAAATTACGCCCTCATCTACGCTCGTAGCCATTTGACAGCACTGTAGGTGCAACATACATAATTCCGGTAACAAAAACAACCACAAAGTTGATTATGAAAATCATAAAAATTAAATATACACGTTGGTGTCAAGTCAACAAGCGCTACACAATCATAAAAACTGAAACCAGAGAAGCAGCAACACATAAAAATTCGCTGTGCGGCAAACGCGCGGCTCAAATGGCAAGCGAAGGCAACTAGGCTGCTAGGAAGCTAGACAGCTAGGCAGGCAGGCAGGCAGCACAATGTCCCTTCGCCAATAAAACCACAGGCGAGCTGGCGTACTACACCTTCACAAGTTTGTATGTGTGTAAATGAGCCGTAAAAATCATATTACAATTTGAAATACAATAATTTTTATGATGTGACATAATAAATTTGCAAATTTCCTCGTAAGCAGTAATTCTTGGGTAAAACGCTCTAAAGCCATTGCCACAGAAATATTTACGAAATCCAAATTTTATAAATTTTAAATAATTCTTTCTCAGAAATTTTGAATATAGAATATACATATAATTGTTGTACAAGTTTATTATTATATTGCTGATGCGAAATAAATCCGCATGTGGCAAATTGCGCACCGAAATATATAAATAATTTATATGCGATAGCAGCAACAACTTTTTATTGTTTACCCGCCAGCGCGCTTATCAGTGTTTTATCACACAACAAAAGCAGCAAATAATCATAAAACTACAACAACACTCACCACTGTACACAGTAGTAGCGCGGCACAGTGAGTTCACTGACTGCCTCCCGTGCATTCGCTTGCTTTTCGCCGCTTCTGCTGTTAGCTCGCTCGCGTTTTGCCCGCAATGCTGCTAGCAAGCGCAATTCTAACGGTTGCAGTCGCTTATTTTCTCCATTTTATTTTATTTTTATATCCAACACATAAATGCTTGCCAGTATGCAGCAGCTCCCCTCCGCCATAAAATTGTAAAAAATAGCTAAAATATAAAATATAACGCTAAGTGCCCGTGGGAGAAGGGGGTCTCTGTTATTTGTGCTAATGAGCGCGCTGCAAAGCAACCCTAGCTGAAGTTTCCACTTCAAAAATGTATTTTCGAAATTGCGCTGCAATAAGGTAATCTGCTGACGGTTTTTTTTTGTTGGTTATACAGATAGTTTTCTCTAGTGTTGCATAATGAATTTTTGTTATTGTTTTTAAGAAATTTGCATCATCAACATTAGTATAGTTCCAGTGGTTAACTCTCTACTCTTTGTATGTGTATCTGCATACGCGAATATGGCCATAAGCATATATAATTAACTGAAGTATATTCTAAATACTATATTTAAGCTAATTGTTGCTGAAATTAATGTTATCGGCTGTGGCATGTACTCGAAATCATTATTCGCATCAAATATCGAGTGGTCTAATAAGCTATTCCTGTAGTTTCATCACTTTATCTCATGCAACAAAAATATTCTTTGATATTTGAGTGTCAACAATTGTGTAACGCTTCACACCAACAACAGCAAAGCGGTGTAAAATTAACACTCAAAACTTTTTTTTGGAACAAATTAAGATTTATGCGCTCTCTTTTTACTGACCCCTGGCCACGTGCAATAGGCGTCTTATCGATTTCCCAAGCCTGCAATAGTTTATGACAGCAAAAATAGCGCATATACAAATACACTCACACTCACACACACAAATATACATACCGCATCTTGCTACTACAAATGTTTCATGATTATAATGACTAAATAGCTGGCTTTTGTTGTTCTCACTCTAATTACAAGTTTACGCTTGGCGAAAAAGAATTATTTTGTTGTTGTTGTTGTTGTTATTATTATTGTTGTTGTTGTTGAAATTACTTAATCATTTCGTATGTAATTTGTCGGCAACGCCCTGTCAGCAAGCTAAAATATTAAACTGTCATAAATACATATATATGTGCTCGTATATATGTGTGTGTATGCCTTCGACTAATCACTTTCGTACAAGTCAGTCAACGCTTAATATTTTTGTGAACTTCGTATTTGTTGGCAGCTCAATATTTGATTTGCCGCACGCACATACACATACACACACACACAACCATGCATGCCAGCTCATAAATTTACAAACTTATTTGTTCACATGATTATTTATTTAGGCGCATCAGCGCGTATTTGGCGATAATGTTGCTGCCAAGCGCACGCACACACGCACAATTACATACACATGTATATTGGTGTCAACTGGCTTGTTGTCGCTGCTGCAGCAAGCAGTTTGTACATTGCACTTTGATTGCTGCGTCTACTATCACCAGAAGTACAGCTAGAAATGTGTTGAAAGTGAGCTGCATGCCTCATTGCATGGCAGCCGCACTGACGAACGGCTGTTTGTCTGATTGACTCTGCAAGCGGTTGCTATCAGCATGTCATGTTTGTGCACTTGTTTGACTTTCAGTTGCTTCTTTGACTATCTGCCCGAGTGCTTGTCTGATTTGCTCCGCAGTTTGCTAGTTTACATTGCGATCTAACGCTATTTGCCTTTGTGTCGCTGGCACTACCTTTTAAGCACACACATACGTACACACGTTCGTGCGTATATGTGAAATTATCGCTGCCGCTTTGTCTCAATATCGTTTTCCAAACAAATAAATACTTTCAAATGTCTTGAACGCTCAATGTGGCTGAGCGCAGTACGTGCCACATAGTGGGAAATGCACGGTTAAATGGCTTTGTGTGCAGAGGAGACATTATAAATTAATCGACAGTGCTAACTGACTCGAGATAGCGTTAAATATTGTATGAAAATAAACATAATAAAACATAATTAATCATAAGTAAATAAAAATGTAAGCAAATAGCGAAAATTTTGAAAGAAAAGTGTGAAAATGCAACAAGTAAATGAAATGATTAATAGCAAGCAAATAATTCAGAAACGAACAGTTATATTAAAAAAAAAATTTTTTTAATTATTAATTAGTCCATTTTGATTCATAAGCCTAGCTTCTGCTGCTCTCGCTATAATACTTTCTCAAACTAATTTGTACAGTTCTAAATAAAAATTGCTTGCTTCTAGTATTCCAACCAAATTTTTCATAACTTTCATGCAACACTTTTTAATTTCAAGTTTTTTTCGCAAACTCATCAGCAACTTTTTGCCACCCGCAGCGTATTTATGTTTGCACTGCACTCGAAAGCGTACAACATGACGCTAAAGCTG